CACCTCCAGGTGGATGCTGCACTCCGCGCTCCGCCCGCACAGCTCCTCCCGGTCGATCCGAGAATTCACAAACAAAATACCATTCTGCAGATTTACCTCCAGAAGGTCCCTGCGCTCCTTGGAAGCCACCCGGAACAGGCGCGGCACCAGCTCCGCCAGCTCCAACCCCAGGTCCTGCGCGATGCGGCCCACGAAGGTGCCGTGTTTGGCTTCCTCGGGGACCGAGTAGTGCAGCTGGCCGCTCCCTGCCTCCCAGGCTGCGAGGAGCAGAATCGAGAGCAACAGAGATCTGGCTCCTGTGCCTTCTTTCCAGGTAAACAGCATGGTACATGCAAAATCTTCAGATGTCTACAAAATATTGGATGTCTTACCTTAAACTTGCTCTCAAGGACCAATTTTAAGGCTTCCTAATGCAGTAAAAATCAAAACGGATTTTGTATGACCTGGCAAATTTTCTAGAGGAAGAAGAAATGGTGGCTTTCTTGGCAAAAACGTTCTCAGTGAAGAACGACACCATGCGCATAAATGTGTAAGTGTAAGAATGATTCAGTCAACATATTTTCCTTTGATCTCTTTTTTCTTTACATTTCTTGACTTTCCACTGCAAAAGTGTAACTGGGGCTAAATATTCACCTTCTAAGAAATGGTAAATAGCTGTGTTCTGATGATCACTTGATGTTATTTGACAGTTTGTTCCATTGTTCTTCAAATTTATTTTTACATGTGTAAAATTCGCATGCAGATTTTTAAAAGAAGGGTATATTGGTTCTCATAACCATATAAGCTCTTGTGGTAATGTCCTTCCTAGTAGTATTTTTAAAGACTTTATTAAACAACAGCCATTAACTGTAAACAGCAAACAACAATCACATAAGAATAAAGCAGGTGAAGGTGGAAGATATTGGTAAGGGCATGCCATATTTTAAATAAATACACAATACCCATAAATTCCTCTGAATATGAAGTATGGATAAAATATTTGTATTTGTAAGGAATACAGTCAATTGCATGGCTTTCAAGTTTAGAGTTCTATTGCAGAAAACATGCCAAGAACTAAAATCTTGTGCACTTAATAGAATTAGAACTTCTACCAATAAGTTAAATGTCTTTTCTCTGTATTTTTTACTTCATCATCATTAAGGAAAACCTTACTATTGATTCTGATATTCCAAGTATGTAAGATGAACTAGAAAAACTGTTAACACATCGTTAGTAAGCAAAAGAAGAGGGAATTTTTATTTATTGCTATCACTACCAAGTCACAAAGTTCCAGGTTAAATTAACAATAAAAGTATACTGTCATATCCACATGGCTGCACTGATAAAGGTTCTACAATCTGAGGTACAGGATCTCAGGACAAATCCTGAGGGCATTTCACTGACCTTCTCAGACCAAAAAACTACAACTCTTGTTGCATAGGTCCTGCTTTACCTTGGTCTTAACCATCCAGCAGAAAAGTATGAAGACGAAATTATAAGAAATAAAGCCATGCTGTTAAGTTGAGCTGTGGGGGACTCAGGTCAATAATTTCTGACATTGCCAGTTAAACAGAAGACCCAATGCTAATATGGGCTACTGGACTCTTTTAGAATATTTTGCTGAGTTTACACACCTATAATATTCAATAACGGAACTTAGAAAAAATGAGGTATACAGATGAATGTCCATTTTGTATCTGTGTATTCAAAGTGGTTGGGATAGATATATAGTTACATTCTGTTAATGAATAGAATGATTTGTTCCAATGGTGTTTGTAAATAGGATCACAAGTCCGCATCTTGTACAGCAATTAACCACTAAGAAGAATATATGCAGTGTATTATTTGTTGAAAAATAAAAAAAAGTATACTGTCATGCCTATTCTGTGAACAACTCTATAGAAAACACTTGGGTTCATTTCTGTACCTTTGCTCCTTTTTGAAATTTATGTAGTATATTAAGTATCCTCTTGCCTATTCTACCATTCTGTCATGCTCCACTACTTCTACTAATGTAGCTTACTCTTATAATGGGAATAGGCCTGATTCTTTTTAATGTTTCTTCTCTATCAGTTCCTATTATGGTCTATTACTTCATTACTAAACTCTTTGACTACTTAAAATGTGCCTTGACTGACACCCTAGATCACTCATTTATCTTACTACTCTAAGATACTCATTAGCTTTCAGCACACTACTAACTAATTTTCTCTATTCTTCTTGACAGTACAGTTACTTAACCTTCCAACACACAATTAACAGTTATTTAAGCTTCCAACACACAACTAACCTAATTTTTCTCTATTCTTCTTGATAATACAGTTACTTAACCATAATGGTCGTATTCTCTACATGTATACTCATACACTTATCTAAACTAGACCTTCAAATGAATTCATAAATTCTTCCCTCTTGCCTACAGAAATTTTTGCATATTCTTTTTCCCCTCTTCTCAAACTCTCCACCTCATTTCCACCAGCTGACTTTCAGATGCTTTTCCCACAGAGGAAAAAGTCACAAAACATGAAGTCAATTGCTTACTTCTTGTGTCAACATTTTCCTTTATATTTTCTAACTTGCATTCCTGACTAGTCAAAAAGAAAACTACCTCTACATTTAAGGTCAACTCGATGCTCCAGAAAAGTTATTTTTCATTCTACTTTATATCTTTCATCTGTGTTTTGATTCTTGTATTGTCTCCCTTATCTTTAGTACATTTCTCCATCAAACAGCAAAAATACTCAAGTATCTGTATAGAACATCTCAAACGTCTCTTTGCACAGATATAATATGTTCAGTTATAGATATAGCTATTCTGTTTACTATCTTCTCTTCACTTATAACTTCTAAAATTTACTAAAAGTTGTACAAATTTACTTATATTGCATTTGTTTTTTATTTCAGCTACCCATTATCTAACCTTCTGATGATTTTAAGTTTACTGAAGTTGTTTGAACAGTGGTTCCTCAAAAAATATATCCACAGTATAAGACTTGGAACCTCTCAATATTATGTTATAAGGCAAATGTTATGAATAAATTAAATATCTTGAGAGGAGTTTATCCTGGAATATCTAGTAGACTTTAAATGCAAGTACATGTACCCTTTAAAAATAAGCATACAGAGAAGACAGTGGAGGAGATAAAATGATATGGCCATAGATTGGAGAAGTATAACCACAAGCCAAGGAATGTAAATAGCCACCAGAAACTGAAAGAAGCAGAAAACAGATTCTATATTGAGGCTAAACAAGTAGTAGAACCCTAGTAATATCTTGACTTTGGATTTATGACCTCCACAATCAGGAGAGAATAAATATTTGTTGTCTTACAACACCCAGTTAGGGTCATTTGTTCCATCAGTTCCAAAAACTAACACAACTACACACCTAAATTTTTCAAACTCATTATTTCTTATTTTTACATCTCTCTTGGTGATTTTATCATTTTTTGATTTAAACTTTTTGTCTCATGAAATTATTCCAGAATCCATTCTTTAATTTCCTAAGCTGCAGACCCAAATTTCTGGTAACACTAGTATTCTCCTAGATCCTCAAGTGAAACATTTTCTCAAATATTAACTTCCAACCAGTGCAAACTGTTGCTTCAGTGATGTTCTGCACCTTGCCTAGGGCAAGCTTGTTCTTCCAGGTGACCAAAGTAAAGGAGTGAGTGTCATCTTCCACTTTCATCTTTCTCTTGTTGTTTGCATTCAACCAGTCATCATCTGGCTACCTTTTCATGGCTAATACCTCTTGTATGTGAATACTACAATCCATTTCTGCTCCCATAATGTAAGTCTCCATCACTTGATGCCTCGATTGCTATAAAAGATCCTTCTCCTAGCTTTCTTGCCAAAGAATCCCTTCTGCTCTAATCCTTAGAGCATACATTCACCAGAGAAAACTTGGCACATTTCCTCCTACTTATCTCTTTATCTACAATATTTTCCTATTGAAATTATCTATACTGACTCAAGTAAAACATTGGCTAACCTCTTGAGCTTACTCCATTTCTTAGATGTAACTGTTCTAGTATTCATTTTACTAGCATAAACTTATTAAAAAATGTTTCATGTCCAGAAGTAAAGATATGTATGACAGTAGAAAAACAACCACAAATTGAAGGCATCCTATGTCTAGAAGAGGGATATAAGGTTCTATTTCCTAATCAAAGAGAAGTCTCCAAATTTTTTTAAAGAGAGTTACAAGATTTTGCATATTTTACAAAATTCACCTGGAACAAAGCAATAACATAACATAACAGTTTGAGATTCTCCAAAACTAGGTTTAAGTCCACTTTTTACTATTTCTATAGTTTAAATTTCTAATTTCTTGCCCATAAATTAAGAATAATAATTGTTGTAAATTTTCCAAATGGGTCATTTATTATAAAAGAAAAAAGTTTCAACCCCCAGTATGGCAAAAAGAAAAAAAGAAAAAGGAAAAAAGCATAATCAGAACAGTGCCTGGAAATAGAAATCAACTAGTAATCTTGAGCTGGGTATATAGCTAAGTGGTAGAGTACTGATTTAGCATGCCAGAGGCCCTGGTTTCAATCCCTAACACAATGAAAAAATCATATATTCTTATATTTTATTGAATAAAAAATGCAATTAGGGCTGGGGATGTGGCTCAGTGGTACAACATTTGCACAGAATGTGTAAGGCCCTGAATCAATGTCCCGCACTGCAAAACCAAATATCCATTAATTATAACGTGTAGTATTATGATATATACCAATCAAAAAAGTAAAATAAATTGGGGCTGGTGAGATGGTTCAGTGGTCTAGAGCACCTACTTAGAACAAGCTTAGCAAGGCACGGGGACCGCAGTTCAATCCCCCAGCACCACATGCCAGCCAGCCCCGCCCCCTGGTGGGCTGAGCTGGCCACACACACACACATAAATAAATAAGTAAATTTTAAAAAAATAAAATAAAATAAATTATAGTAAATTCTGAATTGTAATATCAATTGGAATATACACCTCAATTTAGGTGACAGTAAATATCTTAAATTAATAAATGATTTTATTATATTTTGTCTACAAATAGTACAATCATTAGTACCACTTGAAAGGATATTTCACATGATAAATGGCAAATTGCTCATCTTAGAATAAAAATGTTATTTTTATTATTATTATTATAATACTTGGAACATAATCTTTTTATATCTAGATTATGATGAAATGAAAATGATAACAAAGGAGGCTATTTTAATAGCCTCAGCAATAAAAAACAAGGAACCTAGTTAAAGTTTTCTGGATACACTTTGAGACATCCTTGTAATTTGCCTAAACTGAAATTATGAACAATTTTTTAATTTAAGAGTTAATAAATATCTAGACTGCTTTAAGGCAATACTATTTTTCAATGCCAATCATTCATAGATAACAAGAAAAAAAAGAGAATTTTAAATTGTGGTCTGTGATCTCCATTATGTCTACCTAACTCATTAATGTTGGATAATAGATAAAATTCAAAATGACTAAGAAAGATTAAGCTCTAAGAGTGGTTCTAAAGGATATGATTGTGAATATTACAAAGAGAACTAACATGACACAATTATAATCAAAAAGCAAGTAACTAAGAGAAACAAATACCCTTAAATAATGTCAATTACTAGAAGAATTTAAGCAAACCTCTCAGCTCACAAAAGACTGGGTTTGAAGGCCATGGGATAGGTCTTTCCCAGAGCACACCTTCTGATAACCTTGTTGCTAGTATGACCAACTGACCTTGACATCAGCTTGCTCTTTGAATCCTCAGCTCCTGGGGCCCAAGAGGGGAGAAGAACAGAAAAGTTGTAGGAGCCCATCTGGTTGTTCTCCATGAGCATGATATACTTGGGCTGCACAAACACCAGTGCCTTGTCCTACAAGTCATCTACTTCCACGGACATGGTGGCCAAGGCCCATGGCAGAGGTGAACATCCATCATGCACAGTCATCACCACCTCCTTCTAGCCAGGCACACCCTCACAGTTCAGGGCACTCTCCCACACCAGCGAATACTAATTCTTGAAGGTGAAAACCAGATTGATGGGAACATGGAGTGTCAAGGAGCAGGCCATTTATCCAGTTACACAACGGTCACAGTCAGTCACATTGATCAGTACATTGAGGATGTCATCCTTTAGCATCCTTTAGTACAAGGAGTTATAGCAAAATGACCATTGCCTCAAGGACATTATCATTCAGCTCCAGAATTTCCATCTGGTCTATACATTGACCAAGCATAGAAGAATTCCATTTATCAATGTCATTAACTTGAATCATAAGCATTATTCTGTTCAAAATCTAGTTCTACATGAATTCTCATTTCACTTTTGTCTAGATTTACTGAAAACACATTTCTCACTTATGGGCAAAATTATTTTCATTCCATAGAAAATTTCTTTATTCAAGCCTTCATCTAACTCAGAAGCACAGAGTTGAATTATTGTCGTGAAGTTTGGAACATTTTCAAACAATATTACTTCATAAACAGCTTTATGAAATTCTATGCCTTGTGGCCAGGGAGATGGCCCAGTGGAATAAGCGCTTTCCTGGCAAGTGCAAGGGCCTGAGTTCAATCCCTGGTTCCAGAAAAAAAAAAGGAAAAAGGAAAAGAAATTCTAGGGTGCTGTCCTTTACATCCAGGATGGTTATAAGAATCTGAGCAGATCCTGTTAGCTCCATTTTAATGCTATCGATGACCATCATCAATACATTCAGTTCTGATTATTCCAGCCTACTCAATGACTTCAGAAGAATACAGGCAATATGCGTTTCTTTTTTGTTGAGTTTTTAAGTGCAAAATACTTCTTTAGTCCTAACAGACAGGCCAGAATTTATGCCAGTATCTGCACCAGAAGCGCCCTCTAGAGGAAAGCTAGTGCCCAGCGGCTTAGATTTTAAAATAAGTGCGTTTTGTTCCATTTCTCTGTACACAGGCGGGTTGTAGTTAATGTCCTTCACCTCCACCTCCACGTGGAAAACCCGCAGCGGTCTGTCCACGATCACTTCCAGGTGGATACTGCACTCCGCGCTCTGCCCACACAGCGGAGGACTGGCAAGAGCCGGTCGATCCGAGAATACACAAACAAAATACCATTCTGCAGATTTACCTCCAGAAGGTCCCCGCGCTCCTTGGACGCCACCCGGAACAGGCGCGGCACCAGCTCCTCCAGTTCCAACCCGAGGTCCTGCGCAATGCGGCCCACGAAGGTGCCGTGTTTGGCTTTCTCAGGGACCGAGTAGTGAAGATGGTCACTCCCAGCTACCGTGGCTGTAAGGAGGACGATTAAGCGCAGCCTGTATTCAAGGTCTCTTCTCCACATAAACACTAATGCCAATCGTGAGGTCCTCTGAGGTGGAAACTATCAGTTTCATGGGAAACTGCCGTGGAACCTTTTATGATCAGTCTGTGGGTGTACCTTCAGTAGTTTTGGGGCAACATTGCAGTAAAATGAATGCAATCTTATTTTATGAATGGTTGTAATCTGAGTACGGAGTCACATTTTTCCTTTTTCACTTTTTCATTGTATAGGAACATCCTGTAACTGATTATGTAAATACAGAAAAGACCCTGAGGGATTTTTTTGGATTAGCCATTTCTTGGGTCACTCTAAGTTCTGTTCCATTTTGAGGGATCATTCACAAAAGTTTCTTTAGCTATTACAAAATTCCTTGTTGACTCAGTGAAATAAAAATGTCAATTTTTGGATAGACTAAAAAAGCTTATTCAGCTAATATAAATGAGCAACAAAATGCTTTTCTTATTTTGTATCTGAAAATATATTCTGCTTCAAAGTTTACCATTATATAATCTTTGAAATAAGAAATGATAGAAGTTACTCTAGTTATCATGGAGAATATCAAGCATAGAATGCATCAAACCCGCTCTCATATAGGTTTATATTCATATTGTTTTGAGACTTTAAGAGAAAGATTCTCATCATCATATTAATGGTAGTTCAATGAAAATGATTACTTCTAGTTGAGAAATAAGTCATTCTTATAAATCATTTCTTTTAACATTTATAATCATACCTTGGAATAGACTATTGATCAGTTAAAGAAACCTAATTTTTTTTTAAAAAAATGAGACACCTGAGTATTCATATGATTAAAGACAGGGTAATGCACAATGTCACATTCTACTAACTGACACTGTTATTCAAAATATTTAAAATACAGAATATTTACAAATAACATATTTAGTGAGACCATGTCTCAAATAGCACCTGGGATCAATCTCCAGCAGCAATGTGTGCGCATACATGTCCCCCACACGCTCCTAATTCATAGTTTAAAAACTAGGTTATAAAAAGTTTCACCCAGACTCCTAGAACAGGTGAAATCTGTGGAAAACTCACCTGCCCAGGGTGATTTGATCCTGGATCCTGGTTTTCCCTCTCATTTTCTTTATCCAGACCAGGAGGAAGACTGGGACTGAAAGCCATGAGGTCCATCTTGGGTAGACCCTCCCCCGAGCACACCCTCGGCCCCCTCTGCTGCGAGTACGACAGGCTCCCCACCGCGCTGGAGCACACCAGCGTGGGCTTCCCAGGCCCGCATGAGCCCTCAGTACGTAAAGCCGAGCAGCGCAGCACCGTGTAGAGTAGCAGCGTGAGCACCAATAGACTGGACACCGCACAAATGGCGATGATCAGGTATACGTTCACGTCAATTAGTGTGGCTTCCGGGCTTGTGTCCCCTGCAGGCAACCGCAACGACGATTTTGGAGTCTGACCACTCTCGACCAGCGACACCAGCAAGGTGGCGGTGGTCGTCAGTGCTGGCTCTCCATGGTCCTTCACCAACACGAACAGGCGCTGGCGCGGTGCATCCATCTCATCCAGGGCACGGGTCGTGCTGATCTCGCCTGAGTACAATCCCACGCGGAACGGGCTGCGTACACTACCCGGAGAAGCCTGCAGCTCATAAGACAGCCACGCGTTGTAGCCAGAGTCTGCGTCCACTGCACGCACCTTCGTCACCACGTGGCCAGCGCCCACTGAACGGGACAACATCTCGCTCAACACACCACCCATCTGCGGTCCCAGCAACATGGGCGCATTATCATTTTCATCCAGCACAAACACCTGCAGAGTCACATTGCTCCCCAGGGCAGGCACACCAGAGTCCCGCGCACTCACCTGGAACTGCAGCAGCTCCAGCTCCTCGTGGTCCAGCGGCTGCAGCGCGAACACCTTGCCGCTCTCCGCGTGCACAGACACGTAGCTCGACAGCGCGCGCTCGCCCACGCGCCGCTCCACCAGCGAGTAGGACACCAGCGAGTTCTCCTGCGCGTCCGCGTCGCGCGCGCACACCGTGAAGATGTGGGAGCCCGGCGGGTTGTTCTCCTTCACGAACACCGTGTACTCAGGCTGCGCGAACACTGGCGCGTTATCGTTCACATCCTCCACCTCCACCAACACGGTGGCTGAGGCCCACAGAGGTGGCGAGCCCCCATCTCTTGCAGTCACTACCAAATCATAGCTCGAAAAGCTCTCTCGGTCCAGACGGCTGTCCAGCACTAATGAGTAATAGTTTTTGAAGGTTGACACAATCTTGAATGGAACATTAGAAGTCAAAGAGCAGGTGACTTGGCCATTGACCCCAGAGTCAAGATCGGATACACTAATCAATGCAATGACAGTGCTTGGCTGAGCATCCTCACGTACTGGGAGAGATAACGACGTTACAGTCACTTCTGGTGAGTTATCGTTGATGTCTAAGATTTCTATCCAGACTGTACAATGACCTGCCATTGGGGGATTCCCCTTATCTGTAGCCTGCACTTCTATTTCATAAAACTTACTTTCTTCATAGTCTAAAGTTCCATTGACCCTCAGTTCTCCATTATTTTCATCTATTGTAAAGAAAGGTTTCCCATTGGGCTTAACTGACTTCAGTGAGTACGTTACCTCCCCATTTATGCCTTCATCTTGATCTGTGGCATTTAACTTTATCACAAGAGTTTCTTTAGCAATGTTTTCCACTACTTTTACTTTGTATTCTAATTGATCAAACTCTGGATCATTGTCATTAGTATCTAAGACTTGGACAAACAGTTGAACCGTGCCAGTAAGTTCTGGTCTGCCCCCATCTGTGGCTGTCAATAGCATTTTAAGTTCAGGAGTTTTTTCTCTGTCTAGAGGCTTTTTTAATACAAGTGACAGTCTTTTAGTTGACCTACTACTCACTGGTAATTCTAGAAAAAAATATTCGTTTTGGCTTAGTCTGTAGGTCAATACAGCATTCTCTTCTATATCCGCATCAGAAGCTCCCTCTAGCGGAAAACGCGAGTCCAGTTGCTTAGATTCAGCAATCATTAGTCTCTGTTCTTTGAAAGAAAACACTGGCGGGTTGTCATTAATGTCCTTCACCTCCACCTCCACGTGGAAAACCCGCAGCGGTCTGTCCACGACCACCTCCAGGTGGATGCTGCACTCCGCGCTCCGCCCGCACAGCTCCTCCCGGTCGATCCGAGAATTCACAAACAAAATGCCATTCTGCAGATTTACCTCCAGAAGGTCCCCGCGCTCCTTGGACGCCACCCGGAACAGGCGCGGCACCAGCTCCGCCAGCTCCAGCCCCAGGTCCTGCGCGATGCGGCCCACGAAGGTGCCGTGTTTGGCTTCCTCGGGGACCGAGTAGTGCAGCTGGCCGCTCCCCGCCTGCCAGGTTTCGAGGAGCAGAAATGAGAGCAGTAGTTGCAGAGTGTTCAGTCCTCTTCTCTGAAAACCGAGCATTGCATATGAAATTGTCTTCCAAATTAAGATTCTTTCCACTTGCAAGACCAAATACTTCCGTTCAAGTTAAAATCTCGCCGAATTTTGAGAAGTTTCAAAGGATCCTCTAACAGTGGCATCCGGCATGACGGAGTCTTTGTATGAGGTGTGCCCCAGTGATCAGATCAATCTATGACTGAACTGGTTCCTCTAAGTAAAGAGCGACACCTTGTGCCTGAAATCGTGAGTACTGTGCGCTACATCCACCCACTGTACAATTTCACGTTTTAGGTTATATTTTCCCAAAATGTTTTCCAACTGTTTATTTATGCAATATTCAGATTTTAATTCATCTTAAAATCTAATATATATAATATATATCTTCATTCACAAATTTGAATTCTTGTTTCTATTTTTCATTTATAGTTATAGATTCTTTTACTTACCTACTCAAAGGGAAAAACTAGTTCATTCCTTTAGCCTTATAAAAGGTAGTTAAACATTTTCTAATGGCACTGCCTCTCAAATAAATATATTATCAACTTGAACTTTTTACTTCCAGTCTCCTTGGTTACTTGGGCTGCTCAGAAACTCAAACAAACAAACAAACAAAAAACCATTTCAGTGCCAAGGACAGAGCAATTTCTGAACTCAGGGTCCTGCCCATGCTAGATAAGCACTGTGTCCACTGAGCTACATGCCCCCAAAGGAAATTTTCAAATTTGAACTTTAGTAACAATTCTTCATCTTTCATGTTCCGTATGCTATGCTCTTATATATGTCAATTTGCCTTTTCACACGCTAAAATTTTTAATTGATACAAAGCTCCAAATTTATATTTGTACAGATTTATGGAATGTAAGTCAAAGTTTTGATGCAATTATATATTATCAAATCATGATAATTAATATGGTCATCACCTCAAACATTCATCATTTCTCTGTGAAGAATCATTCAAAATCCTGCCCTCCAAACATATTGTATAACATTATTATAAGCTATATCACATCTCTTTTTTCTAGATCTGATTATTTATTATTATTTTCATTGTCTTCTTGTTATAAGTGAATTATATTCACTCAAGAACAATAAAAATATAATTAAGAAAATAACTAATATATTTCCAAAATTGATGGTTTAAAATAGAATTTGCAAATAAAAAGTCTATTCAGCTATATGATTTTTGTATTTGATATACATGACTTCTCACCTAAGTTGCCTTGGTTAGTATTATAGGATATCAAAATGATATTTCATGGAAGTCAATGATACAACAGTAGTCTTTACCACTACACAATTAATATTATTACTATTCAGTGAAATAAAATTGCCCACAAAAATCTTTACTGTTCTGATATTTGCAAATCAAAAACACTGCTTCCTTAATCTAATAAATATATTCATGAAATTGGTCTCAGGCCAAATAGGGAAGGTGACTTTTAATAATATCTTCTGTAAGTGCCTCACAATATGCTTAAAACATAGTAAGTGAGCAATTTAGTTAAGTGACAGATAACTTTAGTACTGTGAAGTGGAATTTTACAATATACAAAGTGGGAAATAATAGGTGTTGTTGTGAATTTTCATTGCATGAAGTTATA